CCAGACACTGCACACACCCCGTACCCCAGACCCCTCTCTCAGTCCCTCTCTGCACCCTGAACCTCTCGGCCCCAGCCCGGAGCCCCTCCTGGACCCAAACTCCCTCCCGCACCCAAACTCCCTCCCAGGGCCCACACCCTCACCCACACTCCGAACCCCTGAGCCTCAGTTCAGAGCCCCCTCCCTTATCCCAGTTCCTCATTCCCAGCCCCTGCCCTCCCCACAGCCTGCACCCCTAGCTGCAGCCCTCACCCCTTCCCTCCCCCAACCCCCAAAGCCAGATTGCAGAAAGGGAGGGACGGAGAAGGGAGGGGGAATTTGGTTTTGGGCCCTTAGAAATTTGGCAACCCCAGCTCACAGGACTCAGGTTTTTACCACAACCTTGTAGCCCACTGAGGTGAAGGAGGGCTACTCCTGCGGCCCACTCACTGGCCTAGCTTGCCCCTTGCTGCCTTACTCAGGCAGCACTTGCTCACCTCAGGGTGCATCCACACTGCACCGGTTTTCTGGAATAACGGCCGTTATTCCGGAAAAACAATACTAGCGTCCACACTGCAATTGCGTTATTTCAAAAGAAAATCGAAATAACGGGGGGGCTTTTTCCAACGCTGGTCAACCCCATTCTGTGAGGAGTGAGGCCTCTTCTGAAAAAGCTTTTTTGGAAGGAGGGGTGGGGACGCCTCACTGCTATGTCAAAATAGCCCCTCCCTGGGGCCATTCTAAAGTTATTCCTCCCTCGTGTCTCCTGGGGCTCTATCCAAATAGAGCGTCCGCATTAGGGGAGCCGGCCTCGGGCTAATTTTGAGGCTTCCCTGCAGTGTGGACGCTCTATTTCGAAATAAGCTATTCTGGAAGATATCTTCCGGAATAGCTTTTTCCTAAATAAGCTTGCAGTGTAGACGTACCCTCAGGGGGTGCTGTGAGAACAGGCCAGATTTCTGCTTCCCTCTCTGAAGGGAAGCGTCTCGTTGTGACGTAGGCATTAAAACACAAAGAGAGGGCCAATGGCTAGGTGGGAATCTCTCTTCCCTCCCACTGCAGAGCCTCAGCCCCGGGCCGAGCGGGCGCTAGTTTCTCAGTGGTCTTCTACGAGCCCAGCAAAGAGCAGGCCTCGCTCCACCTGAGAAGCTGTCACTGAAGTGAGCAGGGCATCGTCTGTGAGGGCTGAATTACAATGGAGGAGCAGACTCTGAGACCGTGATCCCAGTGAATCGTCTCTTAGGCTTTGTCTTCACTGCCGACAAAGTCGTGTCCTTAACGCACGTTAGCCAGCCCCAGTTCAAATTCTAGCAAAGGCAAGGCAGCTAGGGTTGCCAGGTAGACCCCACCAAAAAACCAGACACACTTGATCGTGGGCGGGGAGGGGGACGGGGACT